AGGATACTATTTATATATTTAAATAGGCCTGGCTCTGAGGCAGTTGTGAGTGCATTAGGATGGGGAGACTGGGGGGCATGACTCAGGGGAAGGGGTGGGTGCATTGGCGGTTAGTGTGCAGTCCCAAACTGGACAAAGTGGTGCAACTTTTGCCTAACAACTTTGGCTCCCCTCTTCCCCCCTCCTCCCCCCCGTTTGGTTTTTTTTTGCGCTTAACTTTGGAGCAGTGAGGGTGGGAGGGTCACACAAATTCATTTAGCATTTTAGGGGGTCGCAGCAATATCACAAAGTTTGAGAACCGCTGTTATAGGAATACAAACATCAGGTTTTTAGAAAAGAGAAGGCAAACACCCAGCGGGGGGGGGAGGGGAGGGAATCACTCAGGATATTTAAAAAGCCTATTTAAAAACTAAGTTAAATTACTCCCTAAATACTAAGCTATGTAAATTGTGAATATTACCTGAAGAGGCATTTATTACCCACTAAACTATAGATGAGTTGTTTGACTTAATTTCCATTAGCAATAACACTGTACAACACTTCCTGACTCACCCATGCTCATGTACAAAGTGGTGGGATAGTTTCCATACAATCACAGTAAGATTTAAGAATTAATATTTCACTAGCCTGTAACATTTTACTTTCTTTCTCACTCTTTTCTAAATCAATTAATTTTATCTCCTTACACATCTTTCCTCTTATACAATCTGTTTTCATCCCTACACTTCAATTCATTCTCATATCAGTCTTTGACCCCTTTCAATGTTTTAAAGCATTCTGCCTCTTTTGGCCTTAAAAAGAAGATCCCAGCTTTCCTTTAGTCCTGGTATTTCCAAATCATGGAGTGAATCCAGATTTCTTCCATTTCAGAGGCATCCACACTTGGACAGTTTGTACACATGTAGTATCTGAAACAACATCTGTGCCAACAACAAAGGAAGCTATGATTGGACACATCAGGTGTTCGTACAATTGTTTAAACCAGCAGCTTCCACCACTGGATGGAGCTATACCAGTATAGAAAAATGCTTACAAATTTTCCAAGCATGGGCTGAGCCTCAGACATAATTCAATTCAGTGACAAAATTATTTCTGCATCTTCAGTAAAGGACCCAATTTGTTAGTGTACTAGAAATCATGCAGTTGCAACCCCTAGCCTTTTCTATATTGCTAAATGGGAACAAGCCGTGTTAAGGAAAAATTGAATATTACTGGTATAAACAAAGTGGTCACACTGGGTATGGAGACACTGAGAAACAGAGCCTTACCAGCCATGGTTTTTCTCTCACTAGAGCATAAATCCACTTTACTGTAATGCTGCATTTATTGTATTACACGCATGTATCAGAAGCTATAGCAAAGCGCACATCTGTAAAATATCAATAAATGAACAAGCGATTTCCAATCTTGCTGAAATCCTCTTTTGCAGTCATATAGCAAACTGATATCACATATAAGCGAGTACAGGCAGTCCCCGAGTTACGTACAAGATAGGGACTGTAGGTTTGTTCTTAAGTTGAATCTGTATGTAAGTCAGAACTGGCGTCCAGATTCAGCCGTTGTTGAAACTGATCAGCGGCTGATTCCAGGAAGCCTGGGGCAGGGGCTTCCTGTAGTCAGCCACTGGTCAGTTTCAGCAGCGGCTGGCCTTGGGGGGGCCTGGGGGGAGGCGG